GTTAAAAATCTTTTAACTAGATGGTTTGGTAGAGAGATTCTGCTTAATGAAATGAAAATATTTCTCAAAGCAACCATTACTGTATTTTAAACAAGATAAAACGAAAAAAGTTCAAGGAATCCTATCGATAGTGAGGCGGCTCAGCTGTTCCTATAAGCAAGCTTAAACTTAAGCAATCTCTGCTCCTTGTTAAATTTGCTGCTTCAGTTCCTCTTGAATACAATAATCTTCTACTACATCCAAACCTACAAATCACACAGTGCATTCACCCTCCAAACAAGAACTGGAAACCATGCTAAAACTATATTTCCAATTCTAATATGGAAGGAAAGTGCAAGGTGTAGTTCCTTGGTTTAGATGTGACAGCAAATTACAGTGTATGCCATATAGAAATCTGTACATGAAGTGGAGCACATGAGGAAACATGTGAGTGTGAAGCGCAGTTATGCAAAACCAGAGAAAGACAGGTTAGTTACCTGAAACCATGGTTCTTCAAGTGGACCTCTGTGAATTCACACAAAAGTGTTAAGTCAGCGCCTGCGCTGGACCTCTCGGAATCTTCTCGAGCTTTGAATAGAAAAGCACCAAAGCTTAGCTTGTCCCTACTGTGCATGCTCCGCCTGCCAAAGCCTCAGTTGCATTTATCCGCCACAATAGCCTGAGCATGTGCCAGACCTAACCAGTGATGGATAGTGGGGAGGCTGGGTGCGATTGTGTATTTCTCCAGTGTGGTCTCTGTGAATGCACACAAAAGGGTGATTAGCACGCTCACTTACCGGAAGGAGGGCCGTCACTGGAGGATGGATGTCAGTACTGCTCTCCCAAAACTTGTCTCTCTTTTAGCTCTCAGGTCTAGGCTACAGTGAGTGATGAAAGTCGAGACATTTGACCAAGTGGCTGTCCTGCAGATGTCAGGCACATCAATACCACGCAGCAGGGCTGTAGATAAAGCCATGGCTCTGGCAGAATGAGCCCAAAGGCCTTCAGGTGGAGTTTTATGTTGAAGGTCATAAGCCAATGAAATGGTGGAGACAAGCCATCGTTGATGAAGATGCAGACAAGCCCTTCTTTTGCCCGTAGAAGCACAAGAACAGTCTATTGGAGGATAGGAATTCCTTAGTTCGAGAGACATAAAATGCTAATGCTCTTCTCACATCAAGGGTATGGAGCATGCGCTCAGTGTCGGTGACAGGATCAGGAAAAAGGGTAGGTAGCATTAAAGATTGGTTAAGATGAAAGTCTGTGACTACCTTAGGAAGAAAAGAGATATCTCGGTGCAAGTCCACTTTGTCCTTTGAAAATTGCAAAAATGGTTGATCAGATCTAAGAGCAGCGAGTTCACTTGCCCTTCTGGCCGATGTAATGGCCACCAAAAACAATTTCTTAAAAGATAATAGACGGAAGTCGCACATGGCCATGGGTTCAAAGGGTGGACTCATGAGAGCATGTATCACTAGTTGGATACAGGTGGTCTTATGTTAGAAAGTCCCTTGAGAAAGGATTTCAGAGTAGGGTGAGAAAACAGCCAGGATGAACTTGACTCTTGAGGTTGAAAGGATATGACTGCAGCAATGTAAACCTTTATGGTAGAAATTGTCTGATTATGATCAAACAAGTATCGCAGGTATTGTAGTAGAGTACACAATGAGACAGGGGCGGGCACGAGGTGCCTAGTTTCAGCAAACTTCAAAAAGCTCTTCCATTTGTAGCTGTACAGGAGGGAGGTGGAGGGCTTCCTAGCCTTATCTAGAACCTCCTTGATCTCGGGGAGATCCTCCACGCTGTCAGGTGCATGGTCTCTGTATCTGGATGGTAGACTTTGCCACATCCTGTGTAAGGAGATCTGGCAGGAGAGGTAGCTTGGTGAAGTCGGAGGCCATCACTAGAAGTATGGCAAACCAAGCCTGGCGAGGCCAGTAGGGAGCAATGAGTATCGCTTCCACCCTCATCTGGTGGATCCTTATTAGAATTCTTTGCACCAGTGGAATTGGTGGGAACAAGTATACTAGGTTGAAGGTCCAAGGTATCATGAATGCATCCCCAAGGGAGTTCTTGCCATGTCCAGCTCTCGAGGCATATAGATTGCATTTCTTGTTGCGATGAGTAGCAACCAAGTCCACTATGGGAGTTCCCCATTGGCGACACAGTGAGTTGAAAACTCCGTTGCTTAACTCCCACTCGTGGGTTTGGCCTGTCATCTGGCTCAACTCGTCTGCCAACACATTGTCTGTTGTGGAGATGTGTATCGCCACTGGAAAAATGTGGTGCTGGTAGCACCACTCCCAAAGATGCACAGTCAGGAACAGGAGTGATCCAGAGCGAGTCCCTCCCTGTTTGTTGATATAATACATGGTCGTGGTGTTGTCTGTGACTACTTGAACACCACGACCTTGTATCAGTGGGAGAAAGGCCTTGAATGCTTTCAGGACTGCCATGATCTCCAGATGACTGATGTGGAGATTTCGTTCTTGAGGGGACCGTAGGGCATGTACTCAGTGTTGTCCGCAATGCGCCCCCCAACCTGTTGGGCTTGCATCTGTTGTCACTTGTACTGTTAGTTGAAGAGGTTGGAAGGGGCGTCCTACTAGTAAATGAGGGGAGAAGTTCCACCACTGGAGCTGCTGAGCCAGTTCTGGTGACACACGAAGACACTTTTCTTGATGATCCTTCATGGGATTGAAGAGGGTCAAGAACCAATATTAGAGAGACCTCATTTTCAGGCGGGCATGTGCCAGCGCTGGAGTTGTGGATGCCATGAGACCTAACAGGTGCTGTGCATGTTTCACAGAGACAACTGCTCTGGGTCAGAATTTTAGGACAGCCTTCTGTATTTTCATTATCCTTTCTGTGGGTAGGAAAATTCGACCCTTGGTGGTGTCCAACCGAGCACCAATGTAATCCACTGTGATGGAGTGAGGTATGACTTCTTGAAATTGATTGACAGCCCAAGATTTCTCAGAACATGAAGTATGAATTTTGTGTCTTTCGGAGCCTGGTGTCTCGACGGAGAAACTACAAGCCAATCGTCTATGTAAGGATAGACTTGGATTCTGTGTAGATGTAAGTAAGCAGCTACCGGCGCCATGCACTTTGTAAATGTCTTTGGAGCTGTCGAAAGCCCGAATGGAAGGGCTAGGTACTGGTAAATGTTGTCCTGAAAGATGAACCGAAGGTATTTGCAGTGATTGGGATGGATGGTCACGTGAAAATAAGCATCCTTTAGATCTATGACTACAAACCAGCTCTTTTTCTTCAACAGGTGAATTATGGAGTCCAGAGTCACCATTCGGAAGTGTCTTGGATGGAAGTAAATGTTTAGTGGTCTTAAGTCCAGAATGGGTTTGATTCCTCCACCCTTTTTTGGTACGGTGAAGTAACGGGAGTAGAACCCGTTCTTTATGTCTTCTGTGGAAATCTTCGAATAGTATTTTTCTTTAGAAGAGATAGAACCTCTTCTTTTAGAGCAGCATCGAAAGATGTATGCTTTACCTGCCCTAGAGGAGGATATTCTATAAATTCCAGCTGGTAGCCGAACTGTATAATTTTTAAGACCCAAGAGTCTTTTGTGATGATCATCAAATTTTGAAGGAAGGGTTGTAATCTTGTCGTGAGATGCTGTCTGAATGGTGCGATGATGGAGTCAAAGGTACTGTTTGGACTTTTTGGTAGGTGGCTTGTAAGACTGTCTATGCTGAATCGACTGAGGATGATAGTCAGAGGTTGAAGAGGAGGCTTGTGATGATCTGTGTTGAGGTAATTCTTGAAGGACTTGTATTGTTGTGTAGGCTGAGAGTATTGTGTATACGGTTTGCGCCATTGGTATTTATTGTATTTAGTCTGAGGTTAGATGGAATAAGACTTGGCTGTTTTCTTCATTTTGTGCAGCTCTTCCAGGTTTCCATCGGTTTTCTCATTGAAGAGACCAATGACGTCAAAAGGTACGTTTTCTACCCGTGTCTTAACATCTTCCATAATGTTAGCTGCCCTGAGCCATGCATGTCTCCTTAGGGTAACAGCTGACATTAGGACCTTGGATGCAGCTTCAGCTGCATGCCTGGTAGATAACTTCTGGTGTTTTGAAACTGTCTGAGCTTCTTCATATGTATTCAAGAAACCTTGTCGAATATCTTTATTCAAGTCATTTTAAGTGCTGGCAAAATTCAGAGACATGTTGTTTTTGGTAAGCCCCCAAGGCTGTCTGGTAATTAGTGACACGTAGGAGGAAAGAGATGAGTGAATAAATTTTCCTTCCAAGTACTTCTAATTTTCTGCCTTCCCTGTTTGTTGGAGTTACATGGGATTTTCCCATTAGTCTTGTGCAACTTGTTTCCACTATCAGCGAGTTGGGGATAGGGTGTTTGAGCAGAAAAGTGGTGTCATTCCCATGGACGCGATACAAATTCTCTGTGCGTCTGGACATGGGAGTTGAAGTAGATGGCTGGTTCCAAGTGTCCCTGATAATATCCATTAGAGCTGGAATAAATGTCAGGCTAAGTGGTGGGGATCTTTCTTGGTTTATGTTCCCGAATATGAGATCTTCTGTAAGTGAAGTAGGTTGTTCAATGTCCATCTTTAGTGTCTTAGCCAGTCTGGAAAGCATCTGGGCATAGGATGAAAAATCTTCAGAAGGAGAGGAAGCATGTTTGTGGGCCGCATTGGACTCAACTACTTCTGGTAAATCGTCTTGACATGGCTCCTGAGGAGCACTGTTCTCAGGAGCAGAAGAGTCAGATGAAAATATGTCCTGTTGGTCTGAAGTTGAAGTGTGTTGAGGTCTCTTGTGGGAATATTTGTCGACGTCGTGGGAGGACGAAGCTGCTGAGAAGATCGTACGATGGTTGATGCCATAAAGGAAGGAACAGACTCAGTAGTACGCTTCTTGAAGCTCTGGTGAAGTCTTTTCTGTTGTCGCCGTCGATGTGTTTTCAACGTCGATGTCTGGGGGGAGACATCGATGGAGAAGAAGAAGATGACGAAGTGTATACATATTTCACTCTCTTCTTCCGTCTATGTCTATCGCTCAACGTTGAGGAAGTGTCTGAGGAAGAGTAATCCCTTCGATGTTGATGCTTCTTGCGCCTTGGTTCGTATTGGTCGGAGTAATCCGATCTATCCCTGTGTCGACGTTGAGAAGACCGAGGAAGTACTACCACCTCACAGCAAGGGGATCAACGTCGATCTGGGGAAACATGCTTAGTTTTGGTTGGACGCTTTCGAGGTGGAGAATCCGGTCTCGAAACGACAGAAGACACAGATGGAGCCAATGACGCCCGCCTGGTTGATACAGGGCTATGAGGGGCAGAAACCAAGCCTGCAGTGGCACTCGCAAGCTGGCTAGGCGTTGGAGAAGAGATGCCTTCAGGTGGAATTGGCTCAACTTGTCTAGGAGGGAGTGATGGGGCTGCCTCCGACAAAGATTCTCGGTTCCTAGAGGAGTCCTCTAAAATTGGGGAAGACAAAGAAGCAGAGACTGGCGGCAACTGCTTATGATGGTCTTTGGATTTAACAGCAGCCTTCGTTTTTGTTTGCTTCATAGGTTTGGAAGAGGAAGCTGTGGTTGTCTTCATCGAAGAGGGTTTCTTTACAGCGACAGACTTTTTAGGTGGTTTATCCAAAGCCTTACTCATCGAAGATAGAGGTGAGACATTGCGAGTTTCTGAATGAGTGGTTGCAGCAGGGGAAGAAATTTTCCATTTCTAACGGTTTGGATGAGGAAAGAGTAGAGTCCCAAATGTGACATTTAAGTCTTTGTTGTCTTGCTTTTAGAGCAGCTTAAGTTAAACCTTTACAATGCTTATAGGATTGGGTTAGGTGGGACTCCCCTAAACAAAAAAGATAGTGATCATGTCCGTCATGAAAAGGAAGCTTCCTAGAGCAAACAACGCACCGGCTGAAGGGTCCAGAGTGTGACATAAGCTGGTACAAGATGGAATTGCCTTAAAATCTTCATGAAGTGAGGTAAAAGGCGGGAAAAACGGGAAAGTCCAAGGCAACCAAGTTAGGCGGAAAAAAGCTGCAGGAAAAATCCAAGAACATGATCCGATGTTGGGGCAACAGAGGACAGAGTAGTCAGGGAAATTACGAGTCGGATACCGTAAAAATCAGTCCAAAACCAGATAAAATAGCAAGCTCGATGTGAGAGGTTCCAAATCACTCAGTGGAAAAATGGAACTGAGGCTTTGGTGGGCAGAGCATGCGCAGTAGGGACAAGCTAAACTTTGTTACTTTTCTATTCAAAGCTCGAGAAGATTCTGAGAGGTCCAGCGCAGGCACTGACTTAACCCTTTTGTGACTTAACCCATTTCCTGCCTGCCCCCTCACTAATGCTTTCCCTCATGCAATCACTGGTGAATCTCAAAAACAGAAGTTCCTATTTGCATGGAAAGTAGCCAGCCCATTTCCTGTTCCTCCTGGCAGCAGACAGTGGGTGGCCAAGTAATTGTTAATGTTGGATGTCAATGCTGAGCAGAGGGATACAGCAATCCAGGTATATTATTTGAAACTGGCAGTCTTGTTATTGTGGGGATCTTGGAACTAGAAAGCTGGCTTGATAACTGGTGGTAAAACAGGTACAGATGTACCTGATAAGGGTCCCAGCAGTTCTTTCATCAGTACTGATCATTCCATTGCTATGGGTCTTGATACCTAGAATGCAGTTATGTACAGTAGGTTGAAGCAAGGGAGCCCTCTCACCTACAGAGATATTTTGGTACTGATGGAAATTGAGAGCAAGAGTGGCAGCAGGACATAGAACTGGAACAGGGATGTGATATATTAAAGCCAATAGCAGCCAAAAGCTTGAGCACTTAATTGTTGCGGGGTGGGGGTATCCATGAGTAAAGCTGCTTTTTAAAAAAATCACCCTTATTCTAGCTATGTATTGGCTGTTGTTGCTTAGCAGTAATGGAAATATACTCTGTTTGGGGGTATTTTATTCTTACCTGACATATTCCAAGGTTCAGACATGGCACTGAAAGTGAATATAGGGTGCTGGCATAAATGAAAATGCACAGAAATTTTAGTAGTTTTACCCAAGATTAAAGTCCCTTGTTTTTTAGTATTAAAAGATACTGGCCAGGATTCAATAACACACTTCCACTAGAGCTCTCTTCCTTGGCTTCTGCTGGCAATGAATAGCAAAATATACCATAGTTGGGCACTAGTTTCTATTAATAAGTATTCTGCATCCCTAAGAAGTAAAAAAATAAAACAACTTGTGCTGTTTTGTCTTTATTTGCTGTTTTACTGATCACTGTTTTAGTAGGCTTCTGTTTTTTATCTGTTTCATTCAGTGAGCTGTTGCTAAACAGAGTTGAAAAACGAAAAGAAAATGGCCAATCTCATTAGTAGATTTTAAGCAGACTGGCTTGCCAGTGTTCTTCTGCCTAGGCAAGAACAGACTGCTGAGATAAAAATAGACATGCTCAGTACAGAGTGCACCTTCACTGGAAAACAGACTGCAAACAGAGAAGAATGATGAATTCCCAGGACATAAGGTGAAATACTGGTGCATTTATGTATGGGGTGTATGTCTAGTGAGGGTAATAAATGCCACAAATATCTCAGCCATGCACAGTACTCTGCCAAAGGCTGCCAGGCATCTTACATTAGTGGCAGCAGTCGTGGCAAGACATTCTACCTATCGAGTACGGCCATACTTTAAAAAGTAAAACAGCATGTCTGGCAAAAATTGTATGTTTTCTGAATAAGGCGGTGAAAACAGTCTGCTATCCATTAGATTAACATGCATTCTTACAAGACAAATCCCAAGATACAAAAACATTGTCAGGCATTAGAACTTAACTGCCTGGAAGGCATGGAATTCGCTAGTGGGATTGTTGGTGGTTAAAACCTGACAGCATATAAATAGTTGACAGTGAAAACCAGCTAGAACAGACAGACAGACACACACACACACACACACGCAGTTGAGCTTGGCAAAGTGCACTGCCAAATAAGGGGCTTTCCACAGAGATGAAAAATGAACCTTTTCATTTTGGTCACTGCCCAAAAACATACACAACAGTAGCAGAAGGTGAACAATATTTTGAGGGGAAAGGTAATAACAGTTATTGTTCCTGATACCTAAAAGCAACACCCCTCTCAGTTCCTGACTTTTTAATGAACTGATGACCACAGAAATGCACACACTCAGAAGCCTTGGAATTGCAGTGCAAGGAGAGGTGGAGTGAAGGTGCCAAAGAACTTTAAAAGAGAATTCCCAAGACTTTATCAAACTATTAACTCTTATTGGTCTTTGAGGAAGCCATGAGAATTAAATATATAGTACACACAACCCATACACATTTGTAGTGTATACATCCCCAAAGTTTTCTGTATTAGATCTAGCATTGCTGCTGCAGCCTTTTAAAATTGATTGCACTCCTTTAACCATTCACAGCAACAAAGAGAAATCTAGTTAAGCTGTAATAACCTAAATCCAATTTCTAGTCCCTTGAGTAGATGCATTGATTAACTACTGAGCAGTAAATCAACACCTAGGTAAACCTCACTGATTCATTGGGTTTACTCTATTTGTGACTAGCAACTAGATTTAGGCCTATGTATTACAAACAGAAATGGGATATTTCTCTTTGTCTCTTGGAGGAGACGAATACAAATGTCACCACCACAGGGGACCAGGCCTTTGGACCCTAACCCCCAGAACTGGCTGGTCCACTTATCGCTCATGGCATGTGGCTGTTGTCATTCGTGCTGTGCCAATCGTGGAAGCAGCCACTTCCCCACCTTCCTGTGCTGCTGACCCCTCTGCTGAGGTGGGATGATGAGTCTCCCCGCTTAGCTGCTGAGTGGTCAGCAGTGCATGGGGGTGGGGAAGTGCCAGTCAGGCTACTTCTGTGATCGGTGTAGTGCAAACTATGACTGTTGTGTGCACACCACTACAAGCAGTTAGTGGACCAGCTGGTTCTGGAGAGTGGATCCAGAGGGCCCAGCCACCCGTGGAGACAAATATGAATATCCCATCTTGAATTACAAAGCACTATCCTGTGTGTACTTTGAGGAGTATTAGATGGTCCTAATGCACAACCACCACTTCAAAATGTTTCCAAATGTAACTTCAGGTTCCTATGCTTGTACTGAGCACACATGACGAGAGGAAAGGGAAGCCCTAGTACAGTGGTTCTTAACGTGGGCGATAATGCCCCCCAGGGGGCGATTTCATTTTTCAGGGGGGCGGTAGAACGAAAAGGGGCGGTGTGGGGGCGCTGGAGCAGAGTAAGGGGGCGCTGGAGCAAGCCAAACCTGTGAAGATGGGCTGCAGCCTTTTTACAATGTGCATGAATATATATTTTCCTCCAGTCTTAATTTAGTTTCAGAGTTTTTGTCTTGAATTTTTTAGTTCCTGCATTGCAGTTTGTTTTTATGCCCTTTTAATATTTCTTTTTGCGTCTTAAAATTCGCTTGCAATTACTTTTGGGGGCATTTCATTTTCTTGGAATTGAATTTTGTTTTCAGGGGTCATTGGATTTAAGTGTCTTAAATGAATGAATGAATGAATGAATGAATGAATGAATGAATGAATGAATGAATAAATAAATAAATAAATAAGATATCATCACTGTGGGGAGGGGGGCAATGATAACTTCCTCAATGGCTCAAGGGGGCGTTTCTTTCAAAAAGGTTAAGAACCACTGCCCTAGTAGGTGGTGGCGCATGGTCTTTGTGCAATTGGAATTGGTTCGTACATACCTTTGGTCAAGTTTCTTGAGTGTAGCATATCAATTGTTCTCTGATACACTTCTCAGTTAAGATACCAAGCTCCAGTGCTAATGACAGCAACACAACTCCATCATCTAATATTTTTAAAGAAATATTGGGTGGAATCCGGCTGCCATAAGTTACACTACAGACCCCTAGTGATGTCCATGCTATGGTCATAGGGGTCCTTCATGCTAGAAAGTCTTCAAGAAACACATAAAGAGGTAGGGAATGATTTAAAGTCAGAAAATTCTTGCCACTGGGGCCAGCAGTGGCGATTTTCCAGCTTAAAATAATTCCCTACGCCTTTCCATGGTTCCCAAAGGCTTCCTAAGATGAAGGGGATCTCTAGGGATCATTGGCACTTGGTGGAGAGCGGGGATGGGAAATGGCTAATTTCCCAAAATGCTACAGCGTGGCTGATGACATCGCCAGAGATCTGTGGCATACCTTAACACCAAATGGATTCCGGCCATTGTATTTATACTGTTGAATATGACCCTTCAGTAATTATAATAATCAAGCTATGTACTTTAAAGATAGACTAGCAATATGTGTAATTAAGCCACCTTGATAGTGTTTTTGGTCTCAACTCAAGATGTTGTCCATTTTCAGTAATATGTAACCTAAATAATCACAGGTTAGGACACCAAAACAGTCAGCTCTTGACACATGCTCTTCTTGTCCGTCAATATAATGAAGTTCCTTGTGCATCCCAGCTGTATATGAGGGCAATATGGCATGGATGCATGAAACAGCCGTCAGTTGCTGCAACCATGTTGTGGAATTCTGCCATGAGAGGTTTGTCTAGCTCACTATAGACTATTATATTTTTCTGTCAACTTCTCTCTCCCTCCCTCTCTATGTGTATCTAAGATAAGAGAAAGAGCTATGCTATTTTTCAAATTAGAAAAACAATTTAAGTAGCTGTTGCTTTCTTGAGCAGGATAAAATTTAGCTAACATTAATGCACCCCTCAGCACAACTAAAAATATTATACATTTTACCATGACTTCTCTTTACGGCAGTGGATCAGGACCAGTGATATAATTACAACTGGCCATACTGATGGAGAAATGTCATCTGCAAAGTTAACACAGTATACTGACTGCTAGGCGGAGCTACATTAGAATCTTGTGTCTCCCATGAGTGTAATAGCTGGCCTTAGACATATCACAGCCCATCTGCTATATAGAATAAGAATATGGATCTACTGGATGCAACAAAATGTATATGAAATGGAATTGGATTTAGAAGATCAGGCATTGAATTTAACCACTAATTCTGCAAGTAGCTCTGGGGAAGCCTCCATGCTTTGTCCTACAGAATGGGAAGATCAAGACTTACCTCAAAGTCTTGTTATGGAAATGAATTGGATAGTGATTGATTATGAAGTCATGTTGGTGTGTCTACTATGTTCCTTAGATATTTTTAATGAAAAGCACCATATATATTTTGAAATAAAATTTTAAAAAGATGAACAACAAATTTTGTTTTCTATATTGAAATTCAGATGATTCAAATTATGAAACCTAATGGTTTAAAATGGAAATGGAAGCTTCGTATTCGTCTCCCACGGGAGAAAAATACGAAACTCGCCACCAGAAGTGGCCAGTCCAGTTGGACCCTCCCCCACCAACCGAGCATCAACTTTTTGCTTGGGGCGTGGCGCACAGGGTCATCGTCCTTCAGGCTGCACCAATCGCAGAAGTAGCCCAACTGGGGCTTTCTCGTCTCCCTGTGCTGCTGACCAATCAGCAGCTGAGC